GCTGTGCGGGTCTCCCCTGCAGCTTGAAGTCCTGGCAGGAACGTTCCCTGCTCCCAGCTGAGCAAACGCTGTGGAACATTCGCTGTTTCCATCAGCCCCTAGACGCAGTCCTGCAGTCTGGAACCTGAAGCTCACGCCAGTCAGTCCTTTCGGTGGCCAGGAGATGTCACTGCCGCGGCTTTGGCAGAGCCAGGGTCAGAGGCCATAGGAGCTGAGAGTTTCAGCCTAAGAGCGCAGCCAGAGCTCACCTGGGGGCCTGCTGCATGGCCTGGGGGTTGGCCAGGGCCTCCAGAGGCAGAAGCGAGTGAAGACGCAGAGGTGAACGCGCCTCGTAAGGAATCGGCTCACTGCTGAGGGGGCTGACAGGTCCCCAGATCAGCTCCATCCCTGAGCTGGACCCCAGGAGAGCTGGCAGCCTGGGGTCTGTCCTGAGCAGGAGGTGGATGTCCCAGCTGGAAGACAGCGGGGCAGAGGGCAAGTCCTCCCTCATCCACTTCTGTTCTTTTCAGGGCTCTGTCAGCTTGAACGAGGCCCGCCCACAGGGGCCTACACTCAGTCTACAGATTCACATACTAATCCCAGCCAGAAACACCTTCACAGACATAACCCCAGTAGTGTCACCCCAAATGTCTGGGCACCCCTGGCCTGCCAAGTGGACATGTCCAGTTATCCATCATGCCTGGTGAAGGCTGCTCACATCTCCCTTTCCCAGGATCTGGGAGGGTGTGCTTGGCATCTGATGGCTGGTCCAGCACGGTGCTAAGGAAGCATTGCCCTCCTAGGAGGCAGGCACAGGCCCAGTACCCACCTCCATCTTCCAGCTCAGTTGCACGAAGCTGACCTCCAGTACCTCCCAGGAGGCAGGGTGGGTGCTGGCCCGGGCAGGGCTGGTACAGGGCTGGGTAGAGAGCCCCTTTCCTCTGGGAGGCACTGCAGGGCCTTCCTGCTCCCTCCAAAATCTTCACTTCCTTGGTCCCAGGGTCCTGGGTTTAAGACCATCTGTTTGCATAACTTCCCCAGAAATCTGGTTCCCAGCAGTTCCCACCGAGATGGGCGCCAGGTGTGTGTTTTTAGTCCACCCACATGGAACAACCATTTTACTTTCCAGGTTTTGCCACCCACAGCCGAGGCACCTGACGTACGCTGTCTTTCTAAGCAAGCCATCATGGAGCTGTCAAGTGTCAGGGACGAAGGGACCTCCAAACCATGCAGGACACCAAGGCCCGAGGAGGAGAAATTAAACCACAACCCAGCGGGCCTGTGGATCTGTCCCTCCCACCAAACCCACTCCCTTCCCCAGGTTCTTGATTAAAGGTCGGACGTGAGAATAAGCTCTGAACAGTTATCAGTGTCAGTTGAGATAAGCTTCAGGCTTCATTGACTTAAGAGGTAAATATTGATGGAACTTAAATACCAAATCAATATTTACCTCAAGGGACAATATAGCCTGAAGTTGAAGTTGGGATATGTGTGCTTAAACACCAGTACGGACTGCCAACATCTTCATTAGGAGAGTCTGGCCAGTGCAGTGATGCACTAAAACTGGCAGGCCTGGTGGCATTAGGTTTCCAGAGGAACCCAGACTGAGTGCTGGCAAGAAGTTCTAAATCACCAAGACAGCGTTAGCATAACCATGAGGGTCAGAATTTGAAAGCCGTAAACAGCACAGATTAAGCCAGGAAATGAATTGCTTATGCCCTTTGCCGGGAGTGCACCTGAGAGAAAATAAAATTCCAACCAGAAAGGCACCAAGTGTGCACCGAGCTGGCTACACAGGCTCAGCACTTTGCAGTGTGCGAAGCGTGACCCCAGCCCTGCGGCCCTGGGAGGCTCCAGCACAGGGACAGAGCGTCTGCTGGCACCATGGTGGTAGTGACTGTCTGCTCAGGTGTCAAGGCTGAAGGGAAGATGATCAAGGAAAAGAAACCAAATGTTAAAAGTCGGGCAGTTCTGCCCATGAACCTCCCCTGTGGTTTGGGAAAAGCTGACCTC